CTGCATTCAATAGGATGTTTACTGAATTTTTAAAGCATGTCATGCATTAATATTTTAGGGATGACTTTACAATCAATATTGTAATCCTCCCAAAGGAGCTATTTCCTCCACAGTATCTACAGCTAACACCGCCCAAAACTGAAACTCTAAAGGGACTGCCTTGGGTATTATTTTGGCAAGCAATACTAAGTGCTAAGATTAAGTTTAAAAAATAATAAGTATATAAGAGCCTATCTTGCTAGAACATGTCTAATTAATAACCTTTTAAAAATTTTCACAAAATCAAGTGAAATTAGAACAAAGAATAACACTTCTCTTGCAGCTAAGATCCAGAAGCATAAACTGAAAATAAAGAATTTTCCTTTTAAATTAATTATCCAACTTATTTTAATTTAAAAATCATTGGAATTTGGTTCTTTCTGTCCTCTCACGCTGACTGGGGTGGGGATTGTTATTAAAAATCAGAAACTCAGATATCTCTTTCTGTTGTCGGGTTTCCTTTCAGATCCTTATCAAAATGAATCCCCATTTAACCATTAGGATGTAAAGACAATCCATTCTGTGAAGTTTTGTTTCTCAATAAGAAGAAAAGAAAAAGAAACTGTTTCCATGAGTGTGACTAAACTGTATAACTTCCTAATATCTTCATATGAGGAAGAACAGATGACAATGGAAAGGGGAAGCTAGAAATAGAAGAGGCTTTTAATAGCCTTTGCCACTGCAAATGTCCCATAAGCACATATTCCCAAATGGACTGAGGTTCTCATCTTTCCAGCGGCCCCAACCTACTGTCCTAGGATGCTGGATTAAAGAAAAAGATATTGTCACAGGATTATCCTCAACATACAAAGTTTAGAGAAGAACGTGGCCATATTTCATATAGGATTCATATTCAAATAGAGAGTTCTCCCACTCATTCTATAATATCTAACCTTTTTAATCAGCCCTTTACAACTCATTTCCCCTTTAATTCACTAATCATAATTTCTAAAAAATTTTGAAATGTGTATCTGGTTTTTAAGATTGGAGAAAGGAAAGACAATATATTTAAAATCTGCATTTACTAAAATGTTTTGCCCTCCGTGCCCAACTCCTGACTTTTCAGGAAGAAATCTTCTTTCTCCCCAGTGTCTGCTATCCTTAATTACTTTACCCCAAAATGCTGCTGTGGTTGTTAAGAGCAGCAGAAGGTCCCTTGCTCAGATACTCTAAGCATATGTGTATCTTTATGTGTTTAAAATAAACATAAAAACAGAAAATACTTATAAAAGATTGGCCAATCAGTGACGACAGCAGGAATGATGGTCATAAAATTATTTTATTTATGTATTTATTTAATCAGTCATACACACACACACACACACTCATACCCTCTTACTTACTATATGCCAGTATAAAAAGTCCATTACACGTATATTTCATATAAGCCCTAAGAGGTAAGTACTATTATTATTCCCTTTATCAAATGAAAAAGCTTAAAATTTAGAAACCTGGATCAGTCACACAGCCACTGAATGGTAGAATCCATGTCTGCCTTACTTTGAAAATCAAACTCTTTACCCCCACACCATTTGGCTTCTGCAAACATTCACAGCCTTTCTGAAGGGAAAAGAGGTTCAGGTTCTAATTGGAATTCATTCTAGTTAATACCACTTAACTACTTGTTAATACTAGTAATCTAAGGTAATGAACTCAAAGTCCCTCCTCCCTCCTGGAAGCACTCACCCACAATTGTAAGTGTGAAATGTAACCAGCAGTCTTGTTGTATACGTATATGCATGTGAACTATCCTCTGCATATAGCTACATTACGTTTCAGCACATACATATCAATGCTTTCTAATGGCAATATAATAATCAGTGGAATGGGAAACTCACACCAACATTCCTCTCCCCAATCCTGCTACCATCACGTTCTACGTCACAATTCTCCACCCACCCCCACCCCCACTTCTCCTCTTGAGAGGTCTGATGTCTGAATCTGTTCATGGTTTGGACAATCAGAGTGGGAGCCTCATTATAGATACACTATCTTATCAGACCATGGAGATGGCATAATAGCCAACCAGCAACAGGAAAGAGTACTAATCTAAGATAATACCTGATATTTCCAATCACCAGCAACAAGTTAGAAATCAATATTTTCCACACCCTATTTAAGAGATATTTCATATTCTGTCTCTTGTACTTCAGGTCTCTGCTGTCTCTCTAGGAACAGAAGCTCTTTGAAGTTAAGGACTGTATTTTGCCATAGTTAGAAATGTGCAAATATAAAGAGTCTAATTAGTGCAATGGTTTCTGGCTGAGGCTACAATTTACCCAGTAATTCAAAGTAAGAACCTAAAAATCATCCTTTATTTTTCCCTTTCCTCATGCTCTATATGTAGTTTATCAGTAATCCTGTCACTCCGTCTCCAAAATATGCCCCAAAACACATCTGTCTACTTCTCTCCATTTCTACCCTTACCTCTTGCCTAGAAAACACCGCAATAGCCTCTTGCTGGCCACGCCTCCCTGCTTCTATTCTTGCTCTCCACAATCCCTTCTCCACACAACAGCCAATGTCAGACCACGCAACTTTCTGGAAGAAAACTCTTCAATGGCTTGCCATTATGCCAATAATAAAATCCAGACTCTTTACCCTGTTCTATAACATAAGACCCCTGCCTTCCCCAACTCCATGTCCCATGTTCCAGTCTTAGGGTTTCACACTATCTTCTCTGATTACCTGGAAAGCTCCTCCCTGCAGATCTCCAAACAATCTAATACTTCTTTCATTGAAGTTTTTGGTTTAAATGTCCCCTCCTCAGAAAGTTATTCCTTCCTGATCATTCTCTGTCATATCACCTTGATTATAGCACCATGACTATTTGAGATTTTTCTTTCTTGTCTATTTATTTATCGTCTGCCTCCCCAGTGTAAGCCCTACCAAGAGAGGGGAGTTGGACATGTTCTTTGCTGTATCCCAGTACATAAAACACATACCTGACATATAGCAGGTGCTTAATAAATGCTTGCTGGTGTTAGAACAGTGACTTATTAATTGCGTGGATGTTTAATATACAAGACTATTAAACTCAATACCTCTTAATCTTTTTGTTATTATTGTTTCAGTCAAAAGAATCTGTCATTGGTAAGCTTGATAATTTATATATACTTTTATTTACATCTTTATTCATGTTTGCCTAAGAACTTATACCCCTGACTTATTGCAAAGAATGTAAAGCAGCTATTACACTGTGCATGTGATCTAAAAGATCAAAACAGCTCCATATAGGACATTCTGTAAAATATCTGACCAGTATTCCTCAAAACTGTCAAGGTCATGAAAAACACAGAAAGACTTTTGAAAAACTGTCACAGTCAAGAGGAGACAAAGGAGATATGATAACCAAAGGCAATGTGGTACCCCGGATTAGATCCTGGAACAGAAAGAAGACATTAATGGAAAAACTAGTGAAATCAAATAAATTCTGGAGTTTAGTTCAGAGTAATGTTCTAATGTTGGTTTCTTACTTTTGACAAATGTATCGTGGTAATATAAAGTATTTGGGAAACTGGGTGAGGGGTATACAGAAATTCTCTGTACTATCTTTGCAACTTTTCTGTAAATAGAAAATTATTCCAAAATAAAAAGTTTATTTTAAAAAATCAACATCTCCATATAAAAAGAAATTTACTGCCCTTTGACCATAGTTTGGCATTTTATTCTGAATAAAGCAAAGTGTAGGCCACGGACTTTTTTCTTTGAACCCATACAACCACTTAAATAGAAAAGCACAGTATTATTTAATACTTGTCACCTCATATTTGCAACCACAAGAATAATTTTAAAACTAGGCAGATGTACTTATTGCCTCTAATATCACATTAATTCTACATACAAGTCCGAAGGAGAAGTGTCATCTTTCCTATTTTCTCTAGTAGGGGTGCTGCCCTGTACATGTAGAACCTCCATTTGCCTACTAGGTTGAGAGAATTTTCTAAATCCTAAACTAAATCCTAAAACCTAAACTCCACCTATTGCTTCTTCTCTAAAAGGAGGAGAAACTAATGTTCCTAAGTGTATTGCATCATCAGGGAAAAGTTTTTATCTGATAATTCAAATGTGGCCAGTATTTCAAAATGACTTTCTAGACTTTTATTCTCTAATTTTCTAATAACTGTTTTACAAGTTATTTGCAGTTCATTCACTTGACAAGTAATTATATCAGACAGCAGTCTGAATCACATGGAACTTGCATAACAAACTGGAGCATAAATTAAAAAATATGAAAGCAAATTCCATTGTAATGCTTCTGCACCCTAGGGAGGTTTCACCATTTCATAAACACACCCAAAATCAAGGCACAAAGTACTGCAATCCACCCCTCTACACATAATTCTATAAATGTAATGTAAAAACATCCTCACATGTGTACCTGATATACCAGCATTTATTTATCTTATTTGTCACGTTATTCTGGTTTCCACTACACAAATACACACAAAGGTATATTGTTTCATAGGTCATGGTAATCTTATTTAATCGAGGGACTATAAAATGGTCAAAATAATTAAGAAGTAAAAAGAAATTAAACCATTCAAAACACAGAAGTTGAAAAGGTGAAAAAGAGATGGTGCAAGATTAGACTGCTTATAAGAAAAAATAGTCAGAGGAAGAGGGGAAATTTGTAACAATTTCTGGGTATTTTGTGGTTTTGTAGTTGTCCTACCCTGGGCCAGTCCCTTAAATATTCTCAATCTCATGTTCCATATCTGTAACATCGAGAAAGTAACGCTGGGCTACCAATTGAATTGTCTCTCTTTTTTTAAAGTATAAACAAAACCTGGCAAATAAAACACAATTTTTAAAAAGCTACTTTTCAGCAAAAAATGAGCTTTTAAAAAACCAAAAATTGCTAACTACTGGCAGTATCTGAAAAAAAATCTGAATGTATGATTATATTTTGAAACTTTAGCCAGCTAGAAACTGAACAGAATTCTTGGGTGAGTGCTTACCTTGGAGACTTGTCGAAGCCACCTTAAATACTCCGTGAACGTATCAAAACAAATGTAGTATGTCTGGCTTTGGGGTCCAGAGGAGCTAAATGCTAAACAGTGCTGGTGCTTTTTCACTTCTTCTACCTATAAAAACAAACAAAGGGAGACAAAAACAAGTCAGAAAGCAGAACCATTTACATAGTTCATTAACTTTACCTTAGATCAGTGAGTCTGCACAGATTTACATCTTTCCCTCTATATGTTCCTCTTACTACTTAAAATATGTAAGTTCCTGAGTCTGACCAAGCAATCTGAATTACAAAGAAACCAGAAAAGGGGAGTTTTATCTTCATTAGATTTCCCCACAATAGTGAAGTTCTCTTCTTCCAGTTTAAAACTGAAACAGACTCTCTTATCTTTCTATAGCCTCACAATAGGGTGCTGGGGTTCTTACTTCTTCTTGGGAGGATTTTACTTAAGGATTTTTACTTCAGGTGGACTTTTACTTAAGTTACTTTTGTATTACTCTGAATTACGACCTTTTATAAAGGGGTGTTCAAGCATATTAAATAAGTTTTAAAATTTAATGTGAAATTGAGATTAAGCTGAAATAAAATCCTACCATGAGAACTTTCAAGACCTAATAATGCAGTGATAGAGTCAAATCAAATCTCCACTCCCAGTAAATTTTTCATAAGGAATAAAAGTCCAAACAATAAAGTAACATGATATTAAACAAACTCCTATGTTTAAATTACAAAAATGACCACAAATCAAGTTATAAAGAAAGTGTAAGAACATTTCAAAAAGGTCAGTATCACACAGACCATGTTCTCGGACCAAAATGCAATTAAGGTAGAAGTCAATAATAAAAAAATCAATTTAAAATCCAAGTACACTTAGAAAATTAGTAACACACTTCTAAACAATTCATGGGTAAAAAAAGAAATCATAATCAAAATTCAGAAATTCTTAGAACTAAACCATGAAAAATACTACATATTGAAATTTATGGAACGCAACAAAAGTGGTACATAGAAGGAAGTTTATAATTTTAAATACTCATATTAGGAAAGACAGCAGAAAATTAATTTAATCAGCATGTGTCTCAAGAACTTAAGGGGAAAAAATACCAAACCGAAAACTGAATAAACTCTAAGTAGAATAAAGGCGACAATAAAAAGCAGAAATTAATGAAATGAAAAGCACATATACAACAGAGAACACTACATTAACAAAGAAAACCACTAGTTCTTTGAAAAGGCTAACAAAATTGAATATCAATTGATATCGATCAATGACATCAATTGAAGACAGATATAAGTAATATTAACAATGAAAAGGGAGACATGACTACAGATTAAGCAGATTAAAAAGAGGATATTATAAACAATTTTGTGGTAAATTTTTAGAAAAATATATTTTACCAACACTAAATCAAGAAAAAACAGGTCTAAATAGTCCTATAACCATTTAAGAAATTGAATGAATATTTAAAAAAAATTCTCAAGAAAATATCAGGCGCATACCATTTTCAAGGTAAGTTTTACCAAAGTTCTAAGAAACAGATCATTCCAAACCTGTGCAAAATCATCCACCAAACAAAAAATGAAGAAAAACATCCCAACCTATTCTCTAAGACCAGTCTAACCAAAAACAGATCAGAACAGTAAAAGAAAGGAAGATTACAGGCCAATCTCAGTAATGAACACATATCTTGAACAAAATGTTGCATCAGAATCCAGTAACATAGAAAAAAATATATCAAGAACAAGTTGGATTTACCTCAGGAAAAGAAAAATGGTTTAACATTTTTGGAACTATAAAATTAATCACACTACCAGATTAAAGAAGAAAACCATATAATCATCCCCAGAGTTGCAGAAAAAGCATATTATCAGTGTATCACCCATTCATCCTTCATGATAAAAATTCTTAGCTAACCAAAAACACAAATAACTCACTTAAGCTGACAAAGGGTATTTATCAAACATCTAAAGCAAACTTCAATGTTAATGATGAGATATCACTCTCTTTAACATCATTGATAAGATAAGTATCTACTGTTTGTATTCAATACTGTACTGGAGTCCTGGCCATTAGAATAAGACACAGAAATGTATTAAGGAAGAAGAAAACTGTCATTATTTGAATATGACATGATTAGCGACATAGTAAACTCCAAAGAATCTATAGACATTATATTAGAATAAATAAGAAAATTTAGCGAGATGGTTGGATATACGATCAATACTTAAAAATCTACTGCATTTCTATATACTAAAGAGAAAACATAATTTTTCTTAAATGCCATTTAAACTAATCTATATTGACAAAAATAAGGTCAGTGGTTTCTTGGGGGAGATGGGGAGAAGTGAGAGGAAAAGGTGGGAGGGAAGGGGTACAAAGGAGCACAAGGAAACTTTTGGGAGTGATATGATCACTATCTTGATCGTGGTGATGGTTTACTGGGTATATAAAGCTATTATATTATACTCATGGGAGTATACAGTTATCAAATTATCAAAATGTGCAGTTTATTATATGTCAATTATACCTCAATAAAGTTTGGTGAAGATGTAGAGAAACAGGAACACTTGTACACTGATGTGTGTGTAAAATGGTACAACAACCCTAGAAAACAATTTATTTTCATCTTGTAAAAGTAAATGTGCATATGCCCTATAGCCAAGTAACTGCACTCCTAAGTATGTATCCAAGAACAGTATTTCTTAAGGAGGTCATTATAGGAATTTGGATTGAACAGTTCTTCATTGTGCATTGTTCAGGACCATCTAATACTTTGCATGACATTTTACTCTCTGAGTCCCTACCCAGTAAATGCCAACAGCGTGCCCTGCAATAAAGATATTGGTATAGCCTGGGGTTCACAGGTTCAGATCCCAGGCATGGACCTACACACTGCTCATCAAGCCATGCTGTGGTGGCATCCCACACACAAAATGGAGGAAGACTGGCACAGATGTTAGCCCAGTGACAATCTTCCTCAAGAAAAAAGAGAAAGATTGGCAACAGATGTTACCTCAGGGCCAATCTTCCTCACCAAAAAACAAAACAAAAAAAGATATTGATATGAACCAAACACTCTATATACTTCTCCACATTTCCTAGACCCCTTGCACTTAAGGTGGAGTCATGTGACTAGTTCTAGCCAATGAGCTGTGGGCAGAAGTGGCATGTTCACTTCTGCATCCAAATATACAAGAGCCAGTTAATGACCCTCCAGTTATCTCTTCCCCTGCCGAAGCAACAAAGGAAGATGGCACGTTCCAAATATTATAATTATAGAGCAGAGCCTCCACCAGGCTGGGCCCCTGTACAATTATGTGAAAAAAGAAATCTCCACTGACCCACAGTGGACATATAGTGTGAGTGAGAAATAATTATTATAAGTCACTGAGATCTGCAGGGTTTTGTTACTATAGCATAACCTAGCTTACATAAACTGATACGTTGACTGTTATATAAGTGAACACACACACACACACACACACACACACACACACACACATATTACACCAAATGTCCCCTTCGGGCATAGTAACTCTAGTTGAGAACTACTGCCCTAGAAAACCTACTTGCATACCACGAGGCATATCAACATAAAACTATTTCAGCAGCATTATTTATAATAACAAAAGACTAGAATCAACTCAAATGTCCATCAACAGGAAAATTACTTAGGAAATCATGGGAATTTAGAACACTTACAGAGTGCAACATTATACAGAAATGAAAACCACATAACAAACAACATAGAATCTTATTACGAAAGATAATATTGAGTGAAAAATTCAATCACAGAAGACCACACACAGTACAATACCATTTTTATTCAGATCAAAAAGAAGCAAAACATAGTTACATGATAAAACTGATTTCCAAAAAGTAAGACAGTGATGAATACATATTCTGGGACAGTGGCTACCTCTGGAGCTGGGGGAGGCAACGGGACACAGGTAAAGAGAACACAGGTAGAAACATTGCGATAGTTCCTAAGTTGAGGAGTAGGTTAATAGTTACTCAATTTATTATACATCATAATTTAACAAATATTAAATAAATTATCTAAACATCTATGTAAACTTCTAAAGGACAAATTAAATATAACATGATGATACAATGAACAAAAACTTATCTATTAAATATTTTTTCAACAGTTAAATGTTAAGAGAGCTTTATTTGACTTCACATTTGGAATTCCACATTTGAAAATGTAAACTAATGATCATGCTCAAGTGGTGGGTCAAATTTGATTATCATAGCAATTATGGCTAGATTATGACCAATCTATCTCACATTTCAGTTCTAGCTCATCTTTATATAAATTTAAAAAAAAAACACAAAAAAAACCTTCCATTTACTCTGTTTTTCCTTTAACAACAGAACAGAATGAAAAAAGGAACAAACATTAATGAAACCTCAGATTGCAAGAAGTAAATTATTTTCTCCTAACTGGGTCAACAGGTTTTAAAAGACTCAATTTTTCAACATACTCTATTTTTAAAGGCATAATGCAGAACAGGTTTTACTAGGTTTGCCTGTGAGAAAAGGAAGCTATTAACTTTCAATTCACTCAGTGGTAGAAATTCATCCAATAATAGGCCTGGGAAACAGGACAAGTCTCTAGCTCTGAATGAAAATGCTAATTATAACTGGATCTTCTGACCTTATCGGAACATTCCACTGCTTTCCTGCCTCTGCTTCTCTAAGCACAATAATCTTTCTAACCATCTCCTCCATATGTCAAGAGATTTTTCACCCTTCAAGTTCTACCATAATTGCTACCTCCTTCATCACAAAAGTCCCTGATTCCCCCCACAAAATGTAATCTCTCCTTCCACTAATCTCCAGCACTACTTTTTTGCACTTTCCTTAGAGCAGATACTGTTGTGTCCATCCTTCATCTCCATATAGTAAATTATAAGCTATTCAAAGGCATGGATGGTGACTTACCCATCTTGTTATTTCTGGGATGCCAAGCAAAGTCGCTTCCTCACAGAGGATATTTAATAAATAGTTATATTAAATGTGCCTATGCAAATACTTTACATTAGACAAAAGAAAGAAACAGACTGCTGACCTAACAGGGCATCAAACATTAACTATGTATTTTTAATGATGACCTATGGGAGTAATAACGATGACTAATTTTTCAGCAATCTGCCCAAAGGACAAAATCTTCAGTAATAAGATATCACTAACTCTTCACTGCTCAGACAAAAGTTAGGAAGCAATGGGTTCAAAATGGATAACTGAAATAGATCTAAACATACCTTGCAGCCTGGCTAAAACCTATTTTTAAAAATGATCAAGTATTAGTCTTCTGAGGACTAGAATGCACAATAGTAGGAGGGAAAAAAACTGACATGGGCTATTTACTCATTAGGAAAGACTAATTTAAACTCACGAATGAAGAATGAACTTGCTACATAGCAGGTGAACCACAAAACAATTTATTATTGCACACATCCGGTCTCACCTTCTTCATTTCTAATCCCTGAAACTAGCAGATCAAACATTTGCCAATTTAAAAAAGTTCATTTTAACAAAAATTGGTTTTTTATTTTTCCTCTCTTTATATTCTCCACATCCTGCCTTCTTTCCCATGCCCATGCAGGGGGAAAAAAATGGTAAAGAAAATATTTAATATGCCCCTGGTTTCCAAAAACTCATTTCTTCATCCAAATATGCCTTTGCGTTTATTAACAGATTACCATATCATTTAGAAATCAGGAAATACTGACATATAATTATGGTAATTATACCCCTACCAATGCTTGGAGTTTATAAATAAATCTAGCAAAAAAAAAAAGAATATAACATTTTCCCAAGCAAGCTGCTCCTTTCTATTTTATAAATGATAGGAATAAAATAGTTAACAAGCCCAAAGAAAAGCAGCCAGTAATATACGAAAGATCTATCAGCTGGATCACAGGTTTTCCCTGAAATGAGTAACATTTCAGGAATGAATGTTAACCCCACTTGTCACTAAACACAAACAAAGAGGTATGGCAAAGTGGGATCAAAGATTCATGCTAGAGAGTCTAACCTTCGATAAGCAAGCTTGAATGATCCTAAGGTCACAGACTTAAGGATTATTATACTAAACTACAAAATATATGGTCAAGATATCAAAAGATGTCTACTCATAAAGAATAATATACCATCTACAGCCTCAAATAAAACACTGAAATTCTAGTTGCTCTATTTTCAGTCCTATAGGTAAAATGCATGCACTAACGAAGTGAAGATCATCAGGTTCTTATGTGAGCCAACGGCACTCTTACTTTCCACAACTCCACCAACCAGCATTGCCCATTGGTGGAACACAACAAGAACTGAATAAGACCTTGGATGAGTCGAAAACCATCTTCCCTTATTACAGAAATGGCTCAAGATAAGCTCCTTAATGATGCTGAGAAACCTGATACTATTTTGTTTGTTTTAAACTTACTTTTCCACCAATTAATGGCAGAACGTGCATCTTTCCGGTCAAGCTGTCTTTCACAGATGATACTATTAGGCAGGTCCCACACAGGATGACTTGGCGTCTGGTCCAACGGTTCACTGGCAACTGCATTTTGCCTTTACGGACATTATACATTCCTGAGAGCTGAATCCGTTCAGAGCTACCGGTGCTGTGAGGTTTTCCTGAAACAAACACACGCAAACATTTTAGTCTTAAAGAAATGAGCTTTTTTCTACTCATTGGCATCACAGATAAATTACTCGGTCAACAGAGATTATTTATAGGGAAACAATCTAATTTATAATTGAGAGAATCTGAAACCTGCAGTAACACATTTATGGTAAGAAATACCACATCTACTCCACATGTACATTTTAATATTAGGTGAAGAATATTAGGTTTTAATATTAGACTTTTCCTTAAAACCCTAGGAAAAGCCCATTTTAACTCCTCTGTTGTAACCCAAGTTTTATTTCTTCTGTATTCTTCACAATTTAATTTTACATTTAAAAGAGAGATGACCAAGATTTTTATGAACGGCTTTAAGTACACTAAGGAGAAAATATTACAGACTAAGATAGGAAAATAACATTCAAGATCATGTATTTAATGAAACTAATCAATTTTAATGGAATTAACTGCTGATATTCTTCCTCCTACAGATATTCAATGTATATTTACTATTAAGGAGACAAATAAAAAATGAATGACTTTTCTAATAAGAAAATACTACTCTATAACCATAGGCTAAGTCCTCAACGATAAACTTAACACACCCATCTATGAAGGATGGCGTGTGTGGTGCTCAGTGACTCGTGGAGGGAACACAGAGACAGAGAGCGATGCACTGAGACTCAGAGACAGAGAGAGAGCTGAGAAGGATCTGATGAGTCTTGTTTCCCAGATGAAAATGAATTTGGCAGAATGACATTCAGACAAGTCCTATCAACTGAATGGGAGTACTGTGATTTACACGTGATGGAGTTGTATAAACAGGGAATAAAATATTTTCCAGTTCTAGACACTGAATATATAATAGCAAAGGGTACTGAAGCCCATGCTCAGAAATAAATTAATGAGGGACACGTGTCCTTGAATAAGACCCAAGCCAGAAGTGTTAATATTTATTTGGAAGTTTGCCTAGATGCCAAGGGCTAGCAGAAAAAACATTCAAGAGAAATTATGTTCTTGTGAATATTAAAAATTAATATAAATACCAAGTAGTTTGGGTAGATGTCTCATACCTACTGGAGAAGGAAACAGGAAGAGCGACACCAAAAACAGATCTGAAGAAGGTCCAAAGAGTGTTTGACCTTCCCAGTACATACCTCTGGGCAGAAATGTTAGCAAATAACAAAACCAGCAGGTTTGAATTTCACTTCCTCTTTCTCCCACTATATCAGAATATTTTATAAAATACTGCACACTACATAATTTTGCTGGGGCTTGACCAGAATGAAGTTTAAGTGGTTTAGCTATTTCAACTTGGCGCCCAGCAAACGACACAGCTAGCGCTCCACGGAGTTGTCTGTCCACCAGGTGCTCACGCTCCCACAGATGGGTAGGAATCGCAGGAGACTTCCAAACAGATGTGATTTGCAAAGGCTGCCAGTGATAGATCAGATTACAGTCATTCAGTTGTCCCATTATGTACAAGTTCATTTATACTCAGAGAGAAAGATGCCCAGGCTCCCAGTCTAAGAGCTCCTTCCTACATGACAAACCCTCTTCCTATAGGGAAGAAATGGGAGAGAAGAGACTCAGAGGAAAAATAAAAGGTAAATCCAAGACTAAAAACAATGTACAACAGGCAACTGGATTTCTAAAATCCAATTTCCATGACTGTAATAAATTAACATTCTCTAACAAGGAATCTGATCTAAATATGTATGCACGCACACACACACAAACACACACACACACACACACTTACATTCAGACAAATGAATGCAAAGAACCAGGCATTTTATCCAGCCACATCAGAGAGTGGCTTCAAGGACACTTGTTAACCTGTCACATTTATGTAGATCTGTGAATAATTAGAGACTGAAGAAAAAGACAACAAGGATACAAAAGGAACAGCCCCTCAATTCTCCAACTCCACAAAAATCCTAGAGAAAGTCCCGGAGCAGATCATGATGGAGTGGACGAAGGCTGGAAGGGATATATAAGAGAAAAGTATGAAGACATCAACTGGACAGGCTTTTTATTCCCTAATAAGAAAAATTCCCAAGGGGCCTTAATAGCCTTGGAGCCTCATGTTAAGATCAGGCTCTCCTTGGAAAGCCCTAAACATCCCAGTCTCAATCAAATCCCTCTTGTCTTGCTCTGAGTGAATTTCAATACCCTTGTTGTCTGCTCCCTCCCTGGGTGTTCCAGATCAGACACACCCTCAGTACTCGGCTATGTACCAAATGGACTCTGGGGAATACGGGATGAATGAGCAATATAAACCTAGGCAGTCACCCAGGCACGTCCTCCTTGTGTCAGATTTCCTTAAACTTCTCAATTTAGAGGAATTCCAATTGTCCTGTGTTCTAATAAATACCACACCACCAAAGTAACAAACGTCTGCCAGTTTAAAGTTGGATCAGTTGTTATAACTTTTATTTGAGAAATATTACCTTAATTTCCTACAGGTTTAAGGCATTTCTTACATGATCCAGTAGGAAAGATAGCAAAAGCAAGTATTTCAAGCTGAAATAGAGACCTAACCACAACAGAGGATGATTTGAACATAAACTTGCTCTCTCATACTCACTTGGCACATGGTAATTTGATAAGATTTGACATATACCCATTAAACCATCACTGGAAAATGAGCATACTGGTCATCGCCAACATTAGCCTTGCACCCACTGTGATCTCTCCCTCTCCCTCCCACCCCCACCCAGTCCCTCTCATGCTCTGGCGACCGCTGATCTGCTTTTTGTCCACGTTGTTTAGCGTGCCAACAGTTTATTCTTTTTTTTGCTGAGTAGTATTCCATTGTACGAATATACCACAGTTTATTCACCTGCTGATGGACATTTGGATGGCTTCCAATTTTTTTGTGTATCTGGACTGAGAACATTGGTGTACTATAAGTTCTTGTGTGGACATATGCTGTTATTTCTCTTGGGTAAACACACAGGACTGGCATGGTTGGGTTATACCATTTTACATCCCCATCATCAGTGCAGGAGAGTTCCAGTTGTTCTATCTCCTTGTCAACACTTTTAGCTGTTTTAGTGCATATGTAGTAGTATCTCATTATAGATTTAATTTGCCTTCTTCTAATAACTAATGATGCTGCTCATGTTTTCAAGAGCTTATTTGCAATCCACATACCTTTTTTGCTGAGGTAACTAATTCAAGTCTTTCGTCCAATTTTAATTGGATTGAGTTCCTCATATATTCTGAATACAAGTTCTTTGTCAAATATATGACTTGCAAATATTTTCTCCCAGGTCTGGCTTGCTTTTTCATTTTCTTGACAGTACTTCGGGAAAGCAAAAATTTCAATTTTAATGAAGTCCAATTACTTGTTTTATCTTTTATAATTACTGCTTTTTGTGTTGTATGTAAGAACTCTCTGACAAACTCAAGATCACTAAGATTTTCCCTTATGTTTTCTTCTATAAGCTTTATAGTTTTAATTCTTACATTTAGGTCTATGATTAATTTCAAGTTAATTGTTGTACACAGCAAGAAAAAAGTAGAAGTTCAGGGTTTTTTTGAGTTTTCCTTGCTGTTTTTGACAAATGACTATCTCGACTATGCCAGGACCATTTGTTGAAAAGATTATTCACTCCCATTTAAGTGCTTTGGCACCTGTATCAAAACAAAACTATTGACCATAGTTGAGTGTGTTAACTTCTTGATTATTCCTATTCCATTCATCTATTTGTCTATCTTCAACCAAGAGCACACTATCTTGATTTACTGAATCTTTATAATTAGTCTTGAAATCAGGTAGTGTGAGTCTTTCTCTGTAAAGAATGACAGTTCTATTTCTTTCATTGCAATTTGGTTGCCTTTTATTTCTTTTTCTTTCCTTGCTGCACTAGCTGGAAACTTCCATACAATATTGAATAGAAGTAATGAAAGCAGACATCCTTTCCTTTTTCCTAATCTTCAGTTTTTCACCATTAAAAACACTATTAATGGGCCAGTCCCAGTGGCCTAGTGGTTAAGGTCAGTGTACTCCGCTTTCGCGGCCCAGGTTCAGTTATCGGGCGTGGACCTACACCACTCATCTGTCAGTGGCCACGCTGCAGTGGTGGCTCACATACAAAAAGAGGAAGATTGGCAGTGGATGTTAGCTCAGGGCAAATCTTCCTCAGCAAAAAAACAAAAAAACAATAAAATCACACTATTAACTGTATGTTTTTCACAGATGCCTTTTATCAAGCTGAGGAAGTTCCCTTCTATTCCTAAGTTGCTAAGTTGTTTTCTTTTTTAATCAGAAAGGGATGTTGCAATTATTCAAATGCTGCTTCTGTCATCTATGGAGATGAACGTGATAAATTCAATTGCTTCTTTTTTTTTTTTTTTTAAAGATTTTTTTTTTTTATTTTTTCCCCCCAAAGCCCCAGTAGATAGTTGTGTGTCATAGCTGCACATCCTTCTAGTTGCTGTATGTGGGACGCGGCCTCAGCATGGCCGGAGAAGCAGTGCGTCGGTGCGCGCCCGGGATCCGAACCCGGGTCGCCAGCAGTGGAGCGTGCTCACTTAACCACCAAGCCACGGGGCCGGCCCTCAATTGCTTCTTAAATGCTAAACTAGTTTTGCATTCCCAGGATAAATTGCACTTGGTCATGATATATTATTTTTACATATTGTTGGATTCAATTTGCTAAAACTTCATTAATAATTATTCCATTTATGTTCATGAGGGATTTCAGATTATACTTCTCTTTTTTCATAATTATACTCGTCTTTTTCTAGCTTTCTAGTCAGGGTAATGCTGGCCTCATGGACCAAGTTGAAAAGTACTCTTTCCTCTTTACTTTTCTGGAAGAGTTTGGCTGGAATTGGTATTATTTCTTCTTTAAACTTTTGGTAGAATTCACCAGTGAAGCCACCTAGACTTGGAGTCTTGTTTTTTTGGGGGTGTGTGTGTGGGTGTGTGTGTATGTGGGAGAGAGAAGGTTTTAACTTAATAATTTCAATTTCTCTTTTTTTGTGTGTGAGGAAGATC